AAACAGCTGATCGGCGCCACAAGCAAGGCTTTATAAACAGCCGATCGGTGCCACACTTCCCCCCCAGAGCTCCTGCATAAATAGGGGACAGCGGAAAGGGGGAGTGGGGGCGCTCCGGATTGTCGCCTCGGGAGGAGGGAGGGAAGGAGAGATGAAGGGCCTGGCCCTGACCCCCACGTGCCCCCCGGGGGTGCCGAGCCAGAGAGCAGTCGTGGCGGGAGGCGCTGCAAAGGATGCGCCCACTGGGAACTGGGATCAGGGCGGCATCTGCTGGATGGGGGGCGGTGCACCAGAGACCCCCTCCTCACCCTGTTTGCGCCCCGCCAGGGAAACTGGGCGTCCAGGGTTGACTGGCTGGCAGTGGGTGGTGCGCCCCTTCCCGCCCCGGGCGGTTGCCTGCCTCCAAGCCCTCCTGCCTCCGAGCTCGCCGTCCAAGGAGGCTGGGTGTCTCCCGGGGTGGCTGGCTAGCGGCGGATGGATGACGCGCCCCTTCCCGCCCCAGGCGGCTGCCTCCGAGCCCTTGCTCGCCGGAGAAAGACCCTCCGGCCCACCCATCTGCACCCCGGGACAGCCCTGCCAAGGAGGGTGGGCGTCGTCCAGGGCTGGCTGGCTGGCTGGCGGTGCTTTGCCATGATCGGTTCCCTGCTTGGGGAACCGATCATCGCAAAGCCATGCTTTTTTAACAGCTGATCGGCTGTTTCAAAATGGCCACCCGCTGTTTTCTGGGACGGATTCCTCGCTTAACAGGCAGCGAAAATGACCGCACTATGGAGGATCTTCGCTGAACGGTGAGTTTGAAGCCCATAGGAACATATTAATCGCGTTTTTATGTGTTTCTATGGGCTTTTTTGTTCCGCATAGCGACGAATCCGTATAACAATGATTTTTCCGGAACGGATTATCGTCGCTATGCGGGGCACCACTGTATCTCAGCATTTTAATTGGGCTGCCAGTGAGGTGTAGTGGTTAGCGACTTGTGAACCTGTGAACATTTTTATCAGTTTAGGAAAAGAAAGACTTCTCTGTGTGTTTGTTGAAAGTGATGTAGAACTTGTCATAGTTTTAGTTTTGCTTTTAATTTGACCAGCACAACCAAAAATTGAATTAATAACTTTCTGCTGGTTGGTTGGTTTATTTGTTTGTTTAATTTCTATGCCATCCATCTGGCTGAAGATCACTCTGGGCGGTTTACAAATCAAAAATAATACAATCATAACACCATAAGACATAGCAAAAATTCAAAAATAGACATAAAATTAACAGTACATTTTAAAATGCATTATAAAAGATATTGGTTTGAATTATTACCTGCAATTGCGGATGTTTTCTCCGCATACTGTCACCTCCATTTACTGTCCGTCCAATGGATTTAAATGGGGAAAACAAAAAATCACCAAAAATTAACGAAGACTCAGAACAAAACCAAATTAAGTTTGCACATGTTTCAGAAGGTGCACTACCGAATCCAAGCATTTAAAACAGGTTTCAAACATTTTAAGACACTTAAAAATGAGCGAAAACAGACATCAGAAAGGGCTTCAAAAGCACTGAAGCCAGCTTTCTGATGACCGTTTTCGCTCATTTAAAAGAATCACTTGTTCTTCATTTTAATGGGTTTTTTCATAGAACAAGGGCTTCCACTTACTTTGTTATATATTTTCGCCGTGCTTCTTGTTCTCTTATTCTCGGCAAATGAAGCTGTCTTGGCTGATTGCCAAAAATGGCACTGGGATTGGGATGTAGACTGATCTTTTCCAATCCTCTGGCCACTGTTGAGTTTTCCAAACTTGCTGGCATATTGAGTGTAGCAGCTTAACATCATCATCTTTTAAGATTTTAAATAGTTCCACTGGAATGCCAGCACCTCCACTGGCCTTGTTTTTATACAAGCTTTCTAAGGCCCACTTGACTTCACTCTCCAGGATGTCTGGCTCAAGGTCAGCAACCACACTATCTGGGTTTTCAGGGACATCCAAAACTTTCTGGTATAATTCTTCTATGTGTTCTTGCCACCTCTTCTTGATGTCTTCTGCTTCTGTTAGGTCCCTCCCATTTTTGTCCTTTATCATGTCCATCTTTGCACAAAAGGTTCCTTTAATATCTCCGATTTTCTTGAACAGATCTCTGGTTTTTTCCTTTCTGTTATTTTCTTCTATTTCTTTACATTGTTCATTTAAGAAGGCCCTCTTGTCTCTCCTTGCTATTCTTTGGAAGTCTACATTCAATTTTCTGTAACTTTCCCTATCTCCCTTGCATTTTGTTTCCCTTCTCTGCTATTTGTAAGGCCTCGTTGGACAGCCACTTTGCTTTCTTGCATTTCCTTTTCTTTGGGATGGTTTTCGTTGCTGCCTCCTGTACAATGTTTCAAGGCTCTATCCAAAGTTCTTCAGGCACTCTGTCCACCAAATCTTGTTCCTTAAATCTGTTCCTCTCTTCCACTGTGTATTCATAAGGGATTTGGTTTCGATTATACCTGACTAGCCCAGTGGTTTTTCCTACTCTTTTCAGTTTAAGTTTGAATTTTGCTACGAGAAGCTGATAATCATAGCCATAATCAGTTCCACGTCTTGTTTTTGCTGACTGTATAGAGCTTCTCCATCTTTGGCTGCAGAGAACATAATGAATCTGATTACGGCATTGCCCATCTCTTGCTTCTGGAATTCCCAACAAAATGTATTCTCTCTATGTCTTATAAATTGAATCTCTAATAGTGAACATGCTAGTATAGTGAGATTATGTGATAAAAGATGGACCTTTGGGTATGCGAGTCCCATGCTATTTAGGGGGTTACCAGGGCTTTGTTCTGCTTCCAGAAACACATGAGTGTGTCCTTTTTAGTTCCAATGGCACTGATTGCCAGGTCTTCTAAATCAACCTCATGTGCAGTATGTTGTTGTAGTCAATCCTTTACTGGATGCCTGTGGCCAGACTCCACCTATCTAGGACATGATGCACTAATCTTTGCTGATGGGAGCACACTGCATGCCATCTATGCCACTTGTGTCTCTAATAATAGTACAGCATGTCTGTGAATTTACATCTTTAAGGGAAAGTGTAGCCACATCAAACATAAGGTGAATATTGCTTCCTGTATGAGCTGAGCCACCCACCAGCAGAACTTCTGTACTAAACTTCATTTTATTTCATCTCATTCAGTTAGTTATCTGTTCCAAGCATGCAAACTCATCTGATGAGTACAGTTTAGTTTTGTTAGGATACTGCTGGCAACTTTCACCAGGCTTATGTAATATTAAATTAGAAGAGAGAAGACCATAGCAGGACTTGAAGTGAAGAGCAGTGCCATTCCATTTCTTAAAATAACATTTCCTCCTCTTAGTTGGATTTACCTGAGTCTGGCATTGCTGTCTCACCATAATGTTAGACTCACAGCACTGCTTCCTAGAGGAAATCACCTGAGTAGAAATGAGTGGCTGAAATGTAGTAACCCCAGTCACACACCAAGTCTGTCTGGAAGATGGTTGATGTTATCAGAAAGCACTCAGGGTTGTAGAAGAAACAGGAGAGTCACATGTCTGCTATCCTTCACCTAGTAGAAGTGTCAGAGCAGCCAAGTTGGACTTCATTTAAAAACCAGGCTTGGTGAAAATGGCTTCAGACTGAAATGTCCTGAGATATTTTCACCATCATTCTTTTTCAGGTTTACTGACTGGTGTTGTTGTGGATTCTGGAGATGGAGTGACTCACATTTGCCCTGTCTATGAAGGCTTCTCTCTTCCTCATCTCACCAGGAGATTAGACATTGCTGGTAGAGATATTACCAGATACCTCATCAAGGTAAGGTGGAGGTGTTAAGTCAGACCAGAAGGCATGCTTTCCATTCTGCTAGCACCAGAACTCCGCCCCTTGCTCCCACAAGCCTGTGATAGGATAGACTAGAAATACAGCCAATAGATGGCTTCTAACCAGACTTAAATATTCATTAAGAATCTCCATGGATTCTTTTGGGGAATGAAGGTACCCTTTCCAAAATATATGACAGCGGAGACTGAATTTTTAAAGAAATAGAAGTACTGGAAGATTGCAGTCAGCTTATTGCTTAGATTTTCTTAACTAATTCCCTGTGTCCTTATCTTCAGGTTTTCCTCCCTAAATGTACTTCTGATTCCTCATTTCCCACAGGACTGAAAGAAAACCTTGTGCATGCTCAACATATTGTAAATTGTTCCTGGAGATTTAGAATCTTACTAGCAGCATCGTAGTAGCCTCATTAGTAATGCTGTTAGTATCCCATTAGGAATTATTTTTCAATTTTTTAAAAATTCACTACTTCTGTAGGATCTTAATAGGCATAAGAAATTGGTTCTCCACTATTTTTAATGTTAATGTTTTCTTGATTTCATGGAAATTGACTGTGCCTGTTGAACACTATAAATAGGATAAGCACAGTAGTTATGCTGGAGAATGCTAGCATCACACTGCTGACCAAAATTCAGTGAATAAAATTGTCCTCTGAAATACTGATGCAACACTGGAGAATGTCATTTCAACTGGAGAATGTTGTTGTTTTCAGATTTGCCTCTAACAAACTTATTTTAATACCAGCTGCTTTTACTACGAGGCTATGCCTTCAACCATTCTGCTGATTTTGAGACAGTCCGTATGATTAAAGAAAAGCTCTGCTATGTGGGCTACAACATTGAACAAGAGCAAAAACTGGCCTTGGAAACTACTGTGCTGGTTGAGTCCTATACGGTGAGTATGCCTTGCCAGCACTGGATCAACAATCTTAATGTTTCAGGCACCCACATCAAATGTGAAGCCTGATCTTAAGGTTTTTCTTGTTCATATTGTGTGCTTTGGTTGAGATTCTGCTGTGACAGATTTGAATATGCTTATTGCAGTTGTTAGGCTTAATGAAAGTTGATGATTTTATCCGAACATACTGTATAGCTTCACTGCTACTTGGCATCTGTCTAATATCCTTTATGCACCAACTACTGCAATTGTACAATTTTCCTCTTGCCTTGAGAAAGTAAGAAAAAATGGTTCTAATACATATTAGACTTTTATCCCTTTTGCCACTGCCACTGTATGCACTTGAATTAGCTGTGGACTGATTCAAGAGAATTTCCCCATGATACTAGGAATGCATCAAAAGGTTGTCTATATTTTTTCTAGTAACTTCAGGCATTCTCTTCTCTAGCTCCCAGATGGCAGAATTATTAAAGTTGGTGGGGAGCGGTTTGAGGCACCGGAAGCTCTGTTCCAGCCTCATTTGATCAATGTAGAGGGGGTTGGAGTTGCTGAGTTGCTGTTCAACACCATCCAGGCTGCTGATATTGACACCAGGTAGGACTTTCAAAAGCTACAGATTTTGTTTCTGTTAAGTCAGGAGAATGGATGAGGAACAATCCCTTTGTGATTTTTTATCTACATGTATTTCAATGGATGGCATCTTGAAAAGACATTTAAATTTCAAAGACTTAGAAAGAAGTGGTAACCAGTGTTACATGCAATATTTTTGATTATTGTAGAGAAAATTCACAAGGTGAGGGGAAAGATTGGCTAATATAGCCTTAGTTAGGGCTTTATTATATTTTAACTGTGTTGTCAGTTACTCTTTATTGAAGTGAAAATGTGTACACACTGATGCTGCTATATAGATGTCAACTGTTTACAAGCAGTGTGTCTCATTTTTAGATCTGAGTTCTATAAGCACATTGTGTTATCTGGTGGTTCCACTATGTATCCTGGGCTGCCATCACGACTGGAACGTGAACTTAAACAGCTTTACCTGGAACGGGTCCTGAAAGGTGACGTGGAAAAACTTTCAGTAAGTATTTATCCTGCAAATAATGCTGCAAGGCTGTCGCTAGAGGGAGCAAGGGGACTTAACATTATGAACCGAGTCTTGACCAAGTTGGTAAAGCTGTGAAACGGCTTTAAAACTTTGTATTCCTTTGTGCTGTGTTAGTTTTGAGGTCATCATGTTGAAGAAGTGTTTAGTTTGACCTCTTTGAAGTAAACTGCTGCTGTGTAACCAAAGAGGAGTCCGTCTGTCCCTGTCTTCCACTTCATAGCATACATGTGACATTTTTCTGAAGCCCCTAGAAGCTCATTTTGAAATCCCTTCCTTAACAATAGTGTTGAGTTCTGTTACAGTCATCATTTCCTTTTGGGCTGCAATCACAACAGAAACATAAATCATGTAACTAATCTATAGAGGAAACTTTCTGTTCTGTTATTCCATATCTTACTAAATGTTTATTAACATATAAGCCTGTTCCAAAAATAGTCAGCTCTCTTGACTATTACATCAAGCTTGTGGGATTTAGTTTCTTTTTCTTTGCTGGGAGCATGAAGTTTTGCTGTTGGAGCTAGGTGCAAAATACCTGGGCATAAGATACAGGTAGAGCAAATGGACTGCTGTGACACACAAGTGATAAACCAGAATGATCAACATTAAAAGAAAAAGCTGCATGTGACTTACTGTATATAATAATTCTGAAGTTGGACTTAGAAAAGACCAGTATATTCCATAACATTTTCGGCAGAATAAGTTGCTGTGAAGAAAGTAGTTTTTCCCTTTTACCAGATATGTACAGATGCAGACAGTGTACATATCCACAATATGTGATTTGTTTTTTGAAATCAAACTGGTGTAAGAGTTCAAATGGCATCAGTGTAAGTACAGAGGATATTTTAGAAAAACATGTCAGGGAAAGACAGCATTGGTGCTGTAATTCTGTACTACAGTACTTTGAGATGCAATGTTGTCGCTATTCATTCCTCTAGGGCACAGTTCTCTTACAAATGGTGCCTGTTAGTAGTCCAGTCCATGCCCACAGATCCACTGTTTACATTTATTTATTTATTTATTTATTTAATGTATTGTATTTATACCCTGCCTATCTAGTCATTTTGAGCACTCTAGGCGGCTTACAACATGAGGATAACAAGTTCTAAACAAATTTATAACAATTAATTAAATGATTCTATAAGATGGGAAAAATAAAAATAAATCAAATAAAGATTAAAAAAAGGAAAGAGGACAGGAATTAACTGGAAGGGAAGGCCTGCCTGTACATCCATGTTTTTAGTTGGTTCTTAAAAGTTCTTATACTAGTTTTACTGTTATTATAGTTTTGGCAGCTTTGACCATAAACTCTAGTAATGCTGTTTGTCTTCTTTTCCCCCTAAGAAATTTAAAATTCGTATTGAAGATCCACCTCGTCGAAAGCACATGGTGTTTCTAGGTGGAGCAGTTTTAGCAGACATCATGAAAGACAAAGATAATTTCTGGATGACCAGACAAGAATACCAAGAGAAAGGAGTTCGTGTACTTGAGAAGCTTGGTGTGACTGTGCGATAAATTCAGAAGCTTATTCCTGTCACAGTTTTGATGCTCTCATTCCTTTATTGCCAATCTTTGAACTCGTTGAACTACATGACATGGAAAGGCCTGTCTCTGCCTTTTGACCCAAAGGCCAGGTTTTGTTCTGGTTTCTTTTATTAGATATTTGATAACGTGGCTGTATTTGACTACTTAATTGGACCATTTCCCTACAGATAAAAACAAGGACAACAGTGGCCTGTCTACTGCATTGTTTCTTCCCAGTAGGCCATTAGGTAATTCCAGTACATGTTCTCTTCTTATTTTATAGTTGTAATGCTGTTGCCTTTTGTCTGTAGCTCATCAGGGATAGAATTCCTTTGGTAGCTTGAGAGAACCTTTGGACAGCAGTTTTTTTTTAAAAAAATACTATCATGTGATTGTAGTGATTAACATCTTTCTGCCTTCATCCTATGCTGTTCACTGTCTTTATATCTTGCTTAGAAGCTCTGAAATCAAATCAAACTGCTAGTTTATTATTATTTTTTAATACTATCCCAGAATATATCCTAGAATATTTTGGGTTCCATAGACTGAGGCTTCTGAAACTAAGTAAAATGGAAATTGGCTATGAGTCCCTGAACCACTCAGCATAGTTTGAGTGTAAATTCCTGTATTTCTTTATTAAAAGAACAGCAGCTGCTTGCATGTCTTATTGCTCCACATTAATTATCTGAACCTCCTTCTGTCACAAATACATCTCTCTAGTTTAACGATTTGGCAATAGACATTCTTTTCTCCTGTGGAATGCATACAGTTAATTTCTTTCAATATTTTTGCTTTTGCTTGGGTACTGTATTTTCTTTAATTACCATTGGATTTAACTCTTTTTTTAATAGACAACATTAGAATGTCATCTGGGACTGGATTTCCTGGATATAATCTATTCAAGTTGTATGTTCAAAAATGTCTGAACTTTAATTACTGGTACAACATTACAAAAAATTGAATTATATTAAATTTTGAACATATTGTAACTTGGTGCCAAGTAATTACTGGAGTTTTTTATATAACTGTTAAATGTTATTTAAAAGAACACCCAAATATTTATATATGGAACTGTCTGTTAGGTTGTGAAAAATGACCTATATAATTTGTAGCAGTTTTAAAAAATTAATCTTGGAATGTAGGCCTCATAGTTGACTGGTAAATACACAATTTACCTGTCTAATTGTGACTTTGAGACAAAGAGAAATAAAAGCAAGTATAAGAAATTGTGAGGGTTCGGGTTCAGGCTCCAATTTTTCTTCAGATAAATTGACAGACTTCTTCAGTTTGGAAATAGGAGTAACATTTATTGGATTGTTTAACAAATAACCTGTGTCAACAAAGGTATTCCAAACATTTTCTCCTTCTAACAACTGGTTAGATGGGGGCCTCTAGTCTTCAGCCTTAAAGGAGTATTCCAGGGGCCCGGCCAGTCCAGAACAAAGTCTGAGTTCAATGACTGTCCTGCCTCCCCTTCCAGTAAGGAGACTGTCTTCATCCCGGTCATCGGTCCAGACTTGGTCTCGTGAGGGGGAATCCTCTGACCAAAGTCTTCCAAGGGACCCCTCTGCTGTATCTGCATCATCCACCATTCTAATCTTTTTCTCTCCTGCTCTTCCTTTTCCTCCTTCTTCCCTTAACTTTCTTCTCCACTCTTTTGTCTCTTGTTCTCCCCTATAGGATGATTTAGGGGTACTCTCCCTCCTCTTTCTCGCATCTGCCTCCTCCTTTGGGACTCTTAGTTTTTCCACCTTCCCCGTCCATGGATGTTCCAACCAGATCCACTCTCAACCACGAGGCAGGTTCTCGTCTCCCCTTTTTATATCTACAAGCCCTGCCTCTACCTCTACCCGGGGCTGCTGTTCCATTTCCAACAAAACATTCCCGTTTTCACTAACAGTCATTCATTTCAACTTCTCTTCTACAATCCCCGGGTCTGTTCCAGGTGGTCTTATCTTCCTGGGAGGGGAAATAGGTGGTGTTTGCACTTCTTTGTTTGCAGAGGGTGGGAGGGACGGCACTCCTGTGAGAGGAATCTTGCTGTCACCGTCAGTAATACTGTTCCATTAAAGGCAAATGTGCTGTTGAAAATATATATGATTATTTCCACACATCATGATGTTTTCCACGAAGAAGAAATAAGGTTTTCAATGCAAAAGTTCTGGTAAATGTTTGTCTATTATCTGACATGTTCATACAAAGAAGAAGTCTGATTTTAAAAAAAAAAAGATCTGAACAGCTTCAGGGAACCATCCACAAGAACTATAATTCAGTGTTTAAAAGAGGGAGTTGGAGCTTTCTGGTAAGCAGTCTTTCCTCTTTTGTGCATTCCTGTGTGGCCTGTTGCTTTCCCTACTTCACATTATGGAGGAAAGTGTGTATGGTATAGTGTTGAAAATGAGTACAAATCTGCAAAAATTACACACAATATAGGTTGAGATCCAGAAACTAGCATTTGTACATTGTAAGTGTTCCAGCTCTTTCTGTTTATCATTCCTACTTAGCTTGTGAGCTTATATTCTCTTCTTTTTGCTTTTTTCCTACAAGGTAAAAATGTCAAGGAGCAGCAATTAAGGTTTACCAGTCAACCTTATTTTCTACAGAGAAACACTGAAATACAAGCTTGATCACTGGTTTCCAAATATTATGCCTGAAAATATATAACCTCTGACCAAACCTGCTTTTAAAAATGGCTTACAATTTAGACTAACGCAGAACGGTCAACTTTTTATTAGTATGTGGGACAATCTAAAATAGGTTTCCTTGAACTAGGTTGCCTGTTGGACCTCACTGTTGTATGTAGAGTTTGAAGGTGAGCTCACTTCATACAGTGAAAGCCTGTTATTTTTCAGAAGGAGAATGCCATTAAACACTGATCAAACATTAAAATGCAGGTCATTTACAGAACTAGTGCTAAGAAGTGGATGGGCGGTGGCAACCGTTAGATTTAGAGAGAGAACATATTGAAAGAGCCACTCTTGAAAAAAAAATGTCTTCAACTATTTTTATTTTGTTTTTGTGTTTTTTTTAAAGATTTCTGTGACAGTTCCATAGAGAGTGAACATTTTCCCCCCTAGACACAAAGTTATCCCGATTAGTCTGAAACATTACTTTTAGAAGTTACAGGGAAGAATTCTAACCTTGAGAGTGAAAGTAAGCAAAGTTAATATTGAAACTGCTTAAATGTGACATCTGCCTTGAAATTATTGAAATAGTCGCCTAGAGTGGTTGCAATGACCAGATCGGCGGGGTACAAATAAAATAAATAAAATAATAAATATTGATCTGGGTGAGAAGTTGTCTACTTAAAAAGCTGAAAAATGTGAGTTTTATCCGCCTAAACTTTTAAAAATAAATGGCTTCGAAGTTTAATTACAGTATTTCCAAAAAATGGAACATACAGGATTTCCAAAGGTAAGGATTATATGAGGAGAAAGTAAAACAGGTGAAAGGGAAAATATGATAACTGGTTGTGGTCTTTACAGGATATATTAAAACATGAATATACTATTTGCATGCAATTTAATGGTCAGTTGTTGGTGTCCTCAAATATGCTGCTGAATATGCATGACAGGGTGACCGCTACAACTCCTCCCCCTTAAAAGTTTGTTTTATGAGGGGAAAACTTAACAGTTTACCCTCTTAAACAAACAAGACATTTAATACATTTACTAACATTCTTACCATACTTATAACTATACACACTTGCCACATGGGCTTCTATCAAGTAATAAATTTACTATTTAAACTTACAACATTATACAGTCCTAGAAACCATACATTCATAAACATTTTCATCTAGATTAAATCAAACATTACAGATATAAACATTTACATTTAATCACTGGGTCTTCTACCACATTTAAAGATCCTTTCGCTCAGAAAGTGAAACTAACATCTAGTTTACAGACTGGTCAAGGCCGAACACTGAGAGACTGAGAGTAAAAACTGATTGTGGAAATAATCCCAGGGTGACATAATGCAACTACGGACTGAACTTAAAGCTGTTATCAGTCAGGAAAACAGAGTGAAAAACAACATCGCGCTGCCAGATTTCTCAAAAGTATGGACAGAGTGCCATCAAAAGTTTAAAACTGTATAATATCCCTGGGGGTGGGGAAGCGTTGGGAGATCCCTCTCAGAGGCTACGGCTGTAAAGGGCTATATATTATTTACTGGGAGAAGCTAACTCATTCCAAGGGGAGAGAGATATTGTCGCCGAGGGTGGACTCTGGAACGGAAAACCAGGACTGGAGTTGTTGATTGGATTCATGGATTAATGGACAGAACATACAGTGGATTATAAGGACACCTACTGGAGGAAAAGCTGAATGTCAGCCTCAACGTCCTCTGAAGATGCCGGTCACAGAGACTGGTGAAATGTTAGGAAGAACAACCTTCAGAACACGGCCAAAGAGCCCCAAAAACCCACAACAACCATTAGATCCCGGCCATGAAAGCCTTCGCGAATACATTGACGATAGATTAATAATGCTAGAGATGGAGAGAGCATCGAAGATGCTTAGATTTCAAAATGTGGTAGAAAATGAAGCGGATGATCTAGAGATATTAATGAATTAAGGCTTTGGCTGCAGAGATAGGGATGGAAGCAGCTGACTTGCAACAATATATGGAGGTAATTTACAGGGTGAATTCAGCATATGCAAGGAGAAATAATCTCCCCAAAGAAATCCACGAAGAAATTACGAAGAAATCAATTAGAGACAAGGTTTTAAGAGCCTCACAAGATAAACAATTGATAATAGAAGACAGGAAAAATAATGTCCTAAAACAAATTCCCTGGCAAATGGGGCAGAGAAGGAAGCAATACTCCTCCCTTACATCTTTACTTCAACAAAATGGAATTTCATATAGATGGCTGACACCGGAAGGTTTATTCTTTCAAATTGATACACAGACATACAATATAACTTCACCGAGGAAAGCACAAGACTTTATGGAAAAAATGAGAAGAAACTGACAAAACAGGGAGAAAGAAAGAAGGAGGGGAAATCAGAAGAAAGACCTCAAAACAAATCAGACCACTCATCAAAATCAGAATCAGACACAGAGCCAGGAAAACAGGAAGTAGCTGAACCAAGACATACCAGAAGGATGACGAGGAAAAAACAGAAAGTTAGTAACCAACAACAAGATGACTAAAAACAAATTAAGATCTTTTCAGTCAATATAAATGGCCTGAACTCACCTCAAGAACGGAAAAATACCTTTTTACAACTGCAGAAACAAATCTGATGTAATTTGCATACAAGAAACTCATGAAAAGAACATATCAGAAACTTTTGGAATGTTCAAGGTTAGGAAAATTGTTTGCAGCTTCGGACATAAGTAAAAAGTGGAAAGGTCTGGCTATGTGTATAAAGAAAGAACTGGAACCAAAACTATTTTTTGCCTCAGACAGCGGAAGGATATTAATGGTGGAAATCCAAAGAGAATCAATTAAAATGCTAATTATTAATATTTATGTTCCAAATGGAAATCAAGATAAGTTATTTAAACAATTACAACTAGAACTGACAAAGATTGTGATCACTATTGTGTGATAGAAGATGTTAATGCTGTTTTTGACAAAGAACTAGATACAAAATCAGATAAAATAACCAAAAAAAGAGAGGGGGACAATCTTACGAAATTTCCTACAATTGGTGGAAGAAGTACATATCATAGATGCCTGGAGGATGTGTTACCCAAAGACAAAAGACTATACTTTTTACTCTAACAGACATAAATTGTGGTCAAGAATTGATGCATGTTGGATCTCAACAAGCCTAATGAAAGAATTGGAGCAAATAAATATTTTACCTAACACATTTGCAGACCACAGTCCTATTTCATTACAATTGGGTAGCAAATCAAGAGAATTTAATTGGAAACTCAATACTAAAAATTGAGGAGTTTATCAAGCAAATAAAAGAAGACATTGACTACTTCTTCAAACAGAACATGAGGCCAGAAATACCAATGACAATGGTTTGGGAGGCAAGTAAGGCATTTTTTAGAGGAGCAGCCATAAGATCTGTATCAAAACAAAAAAGAGAAAGACAGAAAAAATATAAGATTTTAGAAAACAGATTGTCCTCATGAACTACAGCTGAAACAAAATCCATCAAATATAGAACTGAAAGAGAAGATAAAGTTAGTTATCTTCAGATAAATAAATTTAACACCAGATAAATATATTGCTCATTGAAGAAACTGCAAAGAAGCTTAAATTTGCAAAGCAATTTTTTTTTGAAAACACAAATAAGCCAGGGAGATGGTTAGCATATAAATTAAGGAAGAGGGGAATGTGTTATGAGTTCAGCCAAAGAAGATCTGGAATCTGAGGGGTTAATTACAGCTGAGGAAAATGCTGGTCAATCAGAATCACAGACAGCTGATTTACCACCAGATTCTCCTCCCCCAGTAGCCAAGCTTCGGCAAGGGTTCATGACATGAAGGTCTGAGGCTTGCATGAATGCTTCCTATAGGAACATCAGGTCACCCAGCCCTGAGTTTTAGCAAGATGAAGCATTTAGATGACTGCTGCTTCTATACAATCTGCACCCAGAGTCTTGGAAGCTTGTGGAAGCAACAAGTCAACACCCTGGCTCGCATCCACACTCTTGCTTATCTTGGACCTTGTTTTCTGGACCCTTGGCTGTGGACTCTGACTTCTGACTACGGCTTGTGTTTTGGCTTTGGCATTTTGGTATCTGCTTTGCATCTTTTGGACTTCTGATATTGGACTGGCTTATTGGACGTTTGCCTGTTGAAACCCCCAGGAATATGACAAGGAGAAAATAATACAAACACTGAAAGATGAAACAGGGACTGAGAAATTTAAACAAGAAGAAATGAAAAAGATTGTTGAGGACTTCTACTGAAATTTATACAATAAAAAGGAAGTAGAGAAAGAATCTCAGAAAGAACATGTACTGAAATACAATAAAATGAAACTGACTAAAGATTAAATGCAGCCTTTAAATGAAACTTTAACATATGCAGAAATTATAGAAGCCCTCAAAAAGCAAAAAAATAATAATAATAAAAATAAAAAAAGGGGGGGAAATCATCAGGTCCAGATGGTCTTCT